CACCACCCATCCCCACCGCTTTAGCCTCGTCAGTATTCTCGAAGCCGTTGGTTGTTTATTTAAAAGTGAATTTACAGACCCATCCGAGCGCCGCGTGTTTAGTTCTTTGGCGAAGCCCTTGACATGAAAGGCCTGTTTGTTTGGTAACATTTTTTTTTGCAACTGCTGCTGCCTTGGAAGTGGAAAGTTTAAGCGATTTGCCAGGCAATTGTGGCGCTCGGTAAATGTGTTCCGGCGTGCGTGTGTGTGTGTTGTGGGGAGTGGGGAGCGGTTAGCGCTACGCTGCGCTATGAACCTGGCGAGCCGAGTTCGATTCCCGCTCACGGCCAACGCCAGTGACGATTATCTGAACCGGTTCTGGGCCTCCCCTAGGTCGACTCAGCTTCAAATGAGTACCTGGCGCAGTGTATAGTAAACACTGGGGAGACGAAGGCGGTCGGGCGTGGTGCTGGTCACCCCCCCCCCCCCTCGTGTACCGTCCCAGCCTTCAAAGTTCCTCCCTAACAGCACTTGCCCCTACAGTCTGTTCAGGCTATCTGGAGGATCTTTGTCTTTGTTGTGGGGAGTGGTGGTGGAGCGGTTAGCGCGCTGCACTACGAACCCAGTAACAACGGGTTCGATACTCTGTCACGGTCAACGCCGGTGACGAATATATGAACCGGTCCTGGGCCTCCCCTAGGTCGACTCAGCCTCAAAATGAGTACCTGGTGCGGTGTGTAGTAAACATCGCCACTGGGGAGACAAAGGCGGTCTGGCGTGGTGCTGGTCACCCACCCCTTCGTGTGTAGTCCCCGCCCTTAATAGATGCTACTTCCAGGGGTCGGGAACCTTTTTGACTGGGAGAGCCATAAAAGCCAAATATTTCTAAATATATTGCATTGAGAGCCATATAGTATTTTTAACGTATAATAAATTAAATATGTCTTACTTTTAATGCGACTTCTGGTGCTGCGTGGTTTTGCTGATGGCCTTGTAGTAGTCTGGTTCATACGACGTGGTGAGGTTGAGCTTCGTGCATGCGTGACCCGTGACATTTATCTTCAAAACTAATTTCTGTTTACTTTAAAACGACACAGTATTATTAAGCAATATCACATGTATTTTAAAATCAGTTCCAAACTGATTTTTATTTTTTTTTTCAACTCAAATTTGTCTGGGAGCCATATGCCGTCACCAGAAGAGCATGTATATGGCTCGCGAGCCATAGGTTCCCGACCGCTGTGCTACTCGCAAATGACACTTGCCCCCACAGTCTGTTCGGGCTATACGGGGGATGGGTGGATCTTTGTGTGTGTGTCTCCTTTTCTCATTTGGCGTGATAACCGTGTCAAATCAATTTCAGACGATTGCGACTCGTGGGCCTGCTATGAGAAACAAGAGCAATCACTGCGAGGTCCGGGGGCTTTTAGCTTGCCCCCCCCCCACAACCACCCCCGCCAACCCCCGATCGATGCTGGTTTCTTGTTAATATGTCCGAGCAAGCGAGAAGATGGGCACGCGGTGGATACCAGAGGGCCTGGCACCACGAACGCGGTTGTTCGATGGAAGAAGAAGAAAAACCCCACCGCGTAACAGAATAAAAGCGAGTGTTTGAAACGGAGCACACAAGCCCGCAAGTATGACAAATGAGAGAGAGAAAAAAAGCCCTACAAGCTTCCCCAAGTGTGTGTTTTACGCATGACGGAATCTGATGTAGTCTCAATTGTAATAAAATAGAGGGTGCTTATATATTTTTTTACACTTATATGGATGGGACTATCGTTTTAAATGGAAAAAAGAACGGACAATACACTGTAACTTGATTAAAAAAATAAGTATGTCAACGAGTCTCCACTTGTTCGCCAACATTGTCAACGCGTGGCCTGGAATCATCTCCAGGTGGTCTCCAGAGCCCGGAGGCCCATTTATTGTGATAATGTTGCAAACACTCAGAAGGGGTAACGTCTGTTTGAAGCACCCTGTACATAACAGGCATCGTCAAGCCCCGGTCTCTCCATCCCAGAGGTCGCAAACGGGTTTTGATTCCTTACCCGTACCCGTACCCGGCCACACCAGGGTCGCAAATGGGTATCCGTACCCGTACCCGGCCGGGTACGGATACCCGTTCCCTACCCGAAATGAGTGACAAACGGTTACTCACCAGTGACTCACGGCCTACCCGTACCCGTACCCGGCCGCACCAGGGTCGCAAACGGCTACCCGTACCCGGCCGGGTACGGGTAGCCGGGTATCGGGTAGGGTACGGGTATTGGGTACCCGGTTGTGACCTCTGCTCCATCCCTCCCCCCCTACCACCCATACTCTCAAAGCTGGGCAAAACAAGTCGGGCGAACTGCAGATACACTAACACCCACACTCTTACCTTTTTTTTTTATCAGAGGCAGACTCTGCCTTTGGATAATAGTAATTTCATGGGCTGGCCAGCATTGAGACTCAAAGTCAGGGTAATTTCCCCGCTGTTCAATTGATCATTGGGTCATTGGTGATCATCTCCCATGTACAGCAAATTGGGTAGCCAGTGGTGGAAATGACTCCCTTTCTATCGCAGGGCTGAGTCTACCTATAACATGGCAAACCATCGTTGACTTCCACACAAGCTGGTTTTCCCTTTATCCACCCTGGAGGGATGATGGAACCGAGTCATCGCCTACCCAGGATGTGAACTCTTGACCCTTCCGCTTCGCGAGCCGCTAGAACGTCCCAACTGAGACGACTGGAAACGTTCAGCGCCCGGACTGGCAGGGAAATCATGAGCGTGAGCACCAGCCATGGTTGCTGCTAGAAATACGAATATTTTAATTTTTACACACAAGCGACTCTCGTTCTTCTGTCTCATTACACGTTTGGCTCCGAGTGCCTTCCGGCTAGAGGCCACCTGCTTGCGCCTGCGGGTAATGAGGTATTTGTTTGGTCCCCTTCCGTAATAAGTTGAACCCGGGGCATCGATGGGAGGGTGAACTAAACTAAAACTGTAAACTATTTTATATTTTTGAACAGGTAAGGCTCACTGAGCAATGTAGCTCTTTTTTCAGAAGCGACTTGGCCACAAATGATAGCCGAACGAAGTGGCTTATCACGTGGAAATGAATAGCCAAAAACACTGAACGCGTGATGTTGATTCTAAATGCCGAGGGAAAAAGCGGAGGATCTGGAGAAAAAAGTCAACGGGACCACGGGAAGAACATGCAAACTCCAAATGTATAGCAGGCGTCAGGGTCGGGATCGAACTCACGACCTCCTGTATACCAGGCGAGGTAGTTAACATCTCATAGCCACCGCGGCACCCCGGTGGCGAGATGGACATGGGACAGATCCAGGTGCCATGGGTGTACCGAGTGAGATGACTGGCACACGCATCACTTATGCAACCCACTTTGCCACCTCGCTGAGTTTAGCGAGACCGGGCCGACGGCCCATTGTTGTGTCACTCCTCAACAATAAATATACACTATGATACCTCCTTTACCAGTGGCAAAATATTGTAGTAGGTTTTTACCCTTTAAACTGGTACAAAAACTGACACCTTTATACAAGGCATCATGTTTGCAATAACCACAACACAAGCAGTCAAAATGCAAACAAAAACATGTCAGTTTTTGTATCAGTTTAAAGGGTAAAAACCTACTACTATATTTTGCCACTGGTAAAGGCGGTCTCATAGTGTAAATGCTTACCCCGAGCTCTCGATACTCTGATAGTGCGCTGTTTTTGAGTTGTACGCCTTTTGGCGTCATCTGGTCCAACACCAATGGAGACTAGGCTCTAAGAAAAGCTATCTCGGGTGTGGACCAATCAACTTCAAGGACAGTGCATATCATTATCACTATCAGAGTTGTTTCTTTTTGTTTGCATTTTGACTGCTTGTGTTGTGGTTATTGCAAACATGATGCCTTGTATAAAGGTGTCAGTTTTTGCAACCAGTTTAAAGGGTAAAAAAACCTACTACAATTAATATACACGCGACCATACACACGGACGCACAGGGCATACATACCAAAGCCAAAGATTGCGATGAAGCCTTTGCAGGCTGTTGGGGAACGTGCTGTTTGTGAGCACGTGTGAAGGCCCCACCGGCGGACGAGTGAGTGGTGTGGCCAGCACCACGCCCGACCGCCTTTGTCTCTCCAGCGCGAATGTTTACACCCTACTCACTTAAGGCTGGGTCAATCAATCCAGTTATCCCAGAACCATTCCAGATATCACGAAGCACCAATATTGGCCACGGCCGGGGAATCGAACTCGGGTTAACGGGTTCATGCGAACGTTGGAGATTGACGTTTTGGTTCAACTTCCTCGCTGCTAAATATACATTGCGGAGATCACACGCCATGACGCCCGTCGCGTTTCCCCACCGCAACAGGTACGACCTGAACGCTATCAACGTTCATTAGGTGATTAATGGGCCGTGTCCTCGTTTCGCATCTCCTTCCACTCCCCTCCACGCCACCCCCCCCCCGTCCATCCACCCTCCTTCCTCTCATCTCCACGTCGTTTGACTCGAGATATCATCCACGCATCACTGCCCACACGCCCCACGGTTTGTTTCTAAAAACGTCCGCGAAATCGGCGCACATTCGGCTGCTACGTCGCAACGCGCGGGTCAGAACGCGCGGATGCGGCATAAAATAACTTGGAACAAAAGCTGAAAAGTGCGCGCCAAGGCGTGCGCAGATGACCACGCATGCTTAGAATGACGCTGTTCGTATGTTCGCACGCGTACGTAGCCAAGCCGTGCTAATCGGAGGTGTTGGGGAAGGCCATACAAACTAAACACAAAAAACGCACTTCAAAAGAATTGCGATAGGAGGAGGAGGGGGAGAAAACACGCGAATTATCCCAAGTGATTTGCTCAGAGATTCAATCATGAACGGACCGGCGTCACTCGTTGAGCCGTACCTTCTCGTTCAGCTATCGAGGCCGGCGCGTGGAGGAGAGGTCACGACCCCCGTACAACCACTCTGCCCCCTGCCCCCCTATCCCCCCCCGCTCCCACCTCCCACGCTCGCCCCCATTGAACCCTGTCTCATCCAAGGCCTCGTTAGTCTTCTCCTGTCCCTCGCCGCCCGGCCTCCCTTTCATCTCGACCTCCGGCCAGCCTTTTTGCGCCGCGGTTATAAAATTATTGAGCTGCTGAGACATGTTCGCTGCCGCCTGACCTCCCTCCCTTCCCATCTCTCGCCCCCCACTCGCGTTTATTTCCCTTCCTCTGTTCGCCCCCCTGCGCCATGCGCTCTCGCTCTCTCTCTCTCTTCCTCTCTGCCCCCGAAGCCGTAGTAGACATTACGTCACGGTAATGCATTCCGGAGGTGCACGTAGCGACGCTGCGAAGCCATTCGGGGATGTCTGCCTGTGGTGCAGCGGTTAAGCAACACTGGGCTTGCAACGCAGGGGTCGTCCATCTCATGTCCACCTTTACGTGGGCAGGCACGGCAGTTGAAGCGATGGGGGGGCGAGTGTTTCTGTTGGTCGATCGGCAAGGTCGCGTGTTTCCTGGAGTCAAGTGTGGGCCTTCCCAGACGTCTGGCCAACGTGGAGGGGGCTGTCTAGAACTCCCTGTAGTGTCGGGAGCCCTTCTGACAGCAGTTGCACGAGCTAGCAATTGCAGGGCTGCGCCGTTGTACCTTTTTATTGAATCATCGGACTGCGTGCATGTCATGAAGCATTTCCGCGTCGCGTCCTACACGTCGCACGATCGTACGGATGCTCTACATTTGTACAACCCACGAGGTCCAGGTGTCCTCGTGGTCGGAGTGTGGAATTTCACTGCCTCGCATGGCTCGCGTGTGTGTGTGTGCGCGTGTGTGTGTGTTTGTTTGTGTCGATGCGTGCGTGTGTGCGTGCGTGTGTGCGCGTGTGTGTGTGTTTGTGTGTGTCGATGCGTGCGTGTGTGCTTGCGTGTGTGCGCGTGTGTGTGTGCGTGTGTGTGCGAGCGTGCGTGTGTGTGCGTGTGTGCGCGTGTGTGTGTGTCTGTGTGTGTTTGTGTGTGCGTGGGTGCGTGTGTGTGCGTGTGCGCGTGTGTGTGTGCGTGTGTGTATGCGTGTGTGTGTGCGTGTGTGCGTGTCTGTGTGTGTGTGCGTGTGTGTGTGTGCGCGTGTGTGTGTGTGCTTGTGTGTGTGCATGCGTGTGCGCGTGTGTTCGGCCTCGATGGAGGAGGCTCGCGAAGGATACTGCGACTGTAAGTTGGAGGCAGTCGCCATCCAACAAGAGGTCAGAGGAGCGACCCTCACAACAACGAGCGGAGCGCCGGGCGGATAAAACACAGCGAGTTGGCACAGTAGGGGGCACAGGTGGGTGCATCGGCCAGTCATCTCAGTCAGTCGACCCATGGCACCTGGGTCTGTCCTGTGACCTCCTGCGAGCGGGCGTTCGATACTTCACGTGGCCTTAAAATGCACCTAGCCTGGCACAAGCCCCGTGGAGACGTCACCGCCACTTAGTCACAAATGGCGGTTGTTGTTGTATTCGCGTGCGCGCTCACGCGGGCAAACACACACACAAACACACACAACACACACAACACACACGACCCGAGCCGATTGCCAGAGAGCTCCAATCGATCCCTGCTACTTAAGAAGGAACATACTACGGTCCCGGCCTCCGCCCGACCCCTAACCCCTCCACCGTGACCGCTGAACTCCCGAATCGAAATCGCAAAGAGTCGAGCAGCCTCCCGCCAGCGCTTTAGGAGCCGTGGGGTCTGCCTTGCTGGGTCGCGTCACAACGGACGTCACGATCCTGGACCCCCCCCCCCCCTCCACACCCCAGAGGTCGCAACCAGGTACCCGATACCCGTACCCTACCCGATACCCGGCTACCCGGCCGGGTACGGGTACGGGTAGACCGTGAGTCACTGGTGAGTAACTGTTTGTCACTCATTTTACAACGTCTTGTCTCTTCTCACAATTCAAGTTCCTCGAATCAACCCACCCGCGCCTGCAACATGGCTTCATCCCAGAGGTCGCAACCGGGTACCCGATAACCGTACCCTACCCGTACCCGGCCGGGTACGGTATCCGTTTGCGACCCTGGTGCGGCCGGGTACGGGTACGGGTAAGGAATCAAAACCCGTTTGCGACCTCTGCCACACCCCCTTCCCCCCCGTCGCTCTGAAAATTTCCGCTTTTGCCATTCGAGGTCACGGGACCCCGGAGGTCACACGCACTCGGCGGTGGCGGTGGTGGTGGTGGCGGTGGTGGTGGTGGTGGTGGTGGCGGTGGTGGTGGTGGCGGTGGCGGTGGTGGTGGTGGCGGTGGCGGTGGTGGTGGTGGCGGTGGCGGTGGTGGTGGTGGCGGTGGTGGCGGTGGTGGTGGTGGCGGTGGTGGTGGTGGCGGTGGTGGTGATGGTGGTGGTGGTGGCGGTGGTGGTGGTGGCGGTGGCGGTGGTGGTGGTGGCGGTGGTGGTGGTGGCGGTGGTGGTGGTGGCGGTGGTGGTGGCGGTGGTGGTGGCGGTGGTGGTGGTGGTGGTGGCGGTGGTGGTGGGACGGGAACGGAGCGAGGGTTGGGACCTCCACGTCTGGCTGCGATGCCTCCAAAAGCGCCGCTCGCCGAAGCTTCGTCGTAGCGACGTTCAACTGCCCCCCACCCCCCACACTCTCCCCACCCACCCCTCCCTTCGAAAAATATAGCAACATCTCTGAAATTCTTCTTCTTGCGTATTTCATTTATTTACGTGCAGAGCCCCAAAACAACTGAAACGGTGATACCAGACCCCCCACCCCCTTCTCCCAGGGCGTGGGCGGATAATGCACAACAAGGGCCGGCTCTGGCCCAGCGTGACCATGTAAATCAGCACTCTTCTCCGTTCGTTCGTACGGCTGTTGATGTGGATGCAGAGCAACGACTGAGGTTGTCAAGCACAGACAGCCGCGTCTAGAGCAGCGGAGTGGAGTGCATCGCTGCGATGTCTCCCCTCGTGGTTGACGGGTCGCGTGCATTGAGTCGTTCGGCGTTGCACGGTCTGTTCTGGATGAGCGCAGCTGCACAGTGCAGAGTGAAAACAAAAACATGAATTCGTGCATCAAGTGTCCGCATCTGCCGTGGTTTGTTGCGCGGATGCGGCTTAGGGTAAACCATGAGCTTCCGTGGAAGATCAAAACATGAGATCGTGTGCACTGGGTCTTTTTTACGAGGTGTTTGCGAGTTATTTCGAACTCCATTCAGCTCTCCAATCTTCATTGCGGCTAAAATGGTTCTCTTAAATAAAGTTGGGGGTTAGCGACCTGTGGAGTAAGGGGGGTGGGGGGGGGGAAAGGTGCTGCGAACTTTTTAAACAATTCGTGACACCTACCCACTGCACGAAACTATCCACCACCATGAGTGACACCGCAGCAGCATCATCAGCATCATCAGCAGCAGCATCATCAGCATCATCAGCATAATCAGCAGTAGCAGCATCAGCAGCAGCATCATCAGCATCATCAGCCACGCACAACAACAATGCAACAAGGATCTCTTCGTGCGCCTGGGCGTCGCGACATCGCCATGAAGTGTATTGGGGAAGGGGGGGGGGGCTAGGTGGAGGGGGGTCGAGGAGTGAGGGGGCGAGGAGAGGAGGGTGAGGAGGGAGTTGGCGAGTAGGGGGAGAAGAGAAGGGGGGGGCGAGGAGGGGGGGCGAGGAGGGGGGGAGGAGGCAGGGGGACGAGGAGAGGGGGGGAGGAGAGGGGGGGGCGAGGAGGGGGGGAGGAGGCAGGGGGAGAGGAGGGGGGGAGAGGAGGGGGGGGCGAGGAGGGGGGGCGAGGAGGGGGGGAGGAGGCAGGGGGACGAGGAGAGGGGGGGAGGAGAGGGGGGGGGCGAGGAGGGGGGGAGGAGGCAGGGGAGAGGAGGGGGGAGAGGAGGGGGGGGGCGAGGAGGGGGGGGAGGAGGGAGGGGGTCGAGGAGAGGGGGGGGAGGAGAGGGGGGGGGACGATGAGAGGGGGGAGGAGGGAAGGGGGCGAGGAGGGGGCACGAGAAGGGGGGCGAGGACGGGGGGGCGAGGGGGGGACGAGCATGGGGGGGGGGGGGGCTAGGAGAAAGGTGGGGGGGCGATGATGAGGAGGAGGGGGGGTTCCTCTCTCCGCCCTGAACCCCGTGGTGACCTCGCCGGCGGCCTCAAATATCCCGGTCGCGTGGCTCGTTGTGGGCTGCCGTGCGCGCTCGCTCTCCTCGCGGCTGTGATCTCTCCGCCGTGGCGGCGTGGGCATCGCTCTCCTGCCGCTCTCCGCTCCTCCTACGACTCGCTCAGTGGGGTCCAGGGAGGCCGGAGGCAACAGAGGCGCCACGCTCTGGAAAATGAAAATTAAAAAAATAAAAAAACAAACAAAAAATTGCATGGCCCGTCCGGCGCTTCGGGGACAAGCAAATTGAATTGGGGAGGTGCTCGCACATCGGGGCTTGGAGGTGAAGGTGTCGGTGGGATAGTGCATGGGGGGGTGGGGGGGGGGTAGAGAGCGGGGTGGGGGGGGGGGCGACGGCGTCGATGGCGCGGTCACATAGTCGGAACGCTTGTATTGGATCGGCGAGACCGATAATAAATTTGCGAATGACCGCATCTCTCTCCCCCACCACCGCCAACACCGCCCAGCTCGCCACCACACAGCCCGTTCCCGAGGCTACGATTGCTTCTCGGCGTGCGAGCCCCCCCCCCCTCCTCCTGCCCCCCCCCCCCCCCAGCTCGAGCCCTGACGTTGACTGATGCCCGGCATTTTCGCGGCGACGAGATCGGAGCCAACCGCGGGAAGCCTTGTCCGCTGCTCTTAATTAAGAGAGAGAGAGAGCGAGAGAGAGGGGTTATTAACGCCGGATCCACATGGCCGGCCTGCAACACTCCCACCCCCCTCCTCCTCCTCCTCACCCCACGTTACTACCACTCGAAGCACCCAGACCGACGTCAAATCAATCAGACGTTCAATTAACACCGCGCGCGCTTGAGAGACGTGGAGTCTTTCCGAGAGAGAGAGAGAGACAAGGAGAGATGCATGCCCAAGATCGGGGCAGGGTCATCGCGAGATGCGCGGCGCGTGGTGTGGATCTTTGACACGGCCGAGCTGTGGCCGGCGGTCCGTTGCTCGTTGGTAGACGTTTCGCGGTTCGTACCCGGTGCCCGCCCTGGTTAATACTGCGGGTATGGATGTATGTACGTGGATTTGTTTTGCACCGTGCGTA